CGTCGACGGTGGACATGTGCCCGAGCGCGCTGGACGCGGCGACGTCGAGGCCGGTGGCGCTCGCGGTGGCGCTCGGACGCGCGGGACTCGGCGACGCGGAGCGACGCGTCGCCGCGGCGGACGCGGTGCGCGCGGTCGAGGTCGTCGCCGCGAGCGCGAGGTGTGAGGCGCATTCGGCTCGGCGGGAAGCGTCGAGGGAGCGCGAACGACGTCGGGAGATCGCGGACGAGCTCTCGAGGGCGACGCGCGCGCGCGTTCGCGCGGAAACGGCGACGCGGGCGCTGCGATGCGAGTTGGAGTGTCAACGCGCGGCGGGCGCGGGCGCGGGCGCGCGTCTCGACGTTCAAGGGGGCATGGCTGATGGCGCGGACGACGCCGCGAACGATGAAGGGAACCAAATGTCATCGGGCGCTGTTTCCGTAGAGGACGAAGACGAACTCGAAGACGGGTCGTCGCCGTCGTCGCCGTCGCCGTCGTCGCCGTCGTCGTCGTCGCCGTCGCTCGCAGCGCCGGCGATAACGCTCGCGGCGTTTACGATTGATGACGAGCGCGTCGGCGGTGAGCGCGCGAGCCATAACGGGCGCGACCGGCGCGTGCGTGTTCCCGAGGTGAACTCGGCGCATTGGCGACACTTTGCCGCCGCCGAGAGCGAACTGGACGCGTCGACGACGCACCGAATCGCGACGCTGATATCCATGGAGTTGGCAAAAGCGAGCGTCGTAGAGGACGGTGAAGACGCGTCTAAACGCATTCGCGAGTTCTTTTACAAGCATCACGGCTCACGATCTCTCGGTGAGATTCATCACAAGATGTTTGCGCGCGGATTGCACGCGCAGTCAAACGCCGGAAGCGCGTGGGCGCAAACCTTCTCACGTTTGCGCGAAATGGATCAAGTCGAGATCGACTTCGCGCTCCGATCGATACGATTCACGCAGTTCGTGATCGTGGAATCGACGGCGTCGTGTGAGCCCGTTCTCGGCGTCGATGAGGCCGTTCGCGCGTTCGCTTTCACGCTCGCGCCAGTGATCGGCGACGCGCAGCCGCCGGCATCCGAACTCGAAAGCCTTCGTCGAAGCTCGACGCACAGCGACGGGATTTCATTAATACCGCTCGCGCAAGTGATTGAGCACGTTGTGGCGGTGGTCACGCGCGCGCGCGACGCCGCGCGTAAGTCGTTCCGAGATACTTTTGCCGAGCGACATCCACACGGATTACTGTCGCACCATTCCGCAATCGTGTCTGCGCTCGCGGAGAGTCTTCGCAAGGCTGGTCCGTTCGCTCAATCACTCATCGGCTCTGCTGAAGAATTGAGCGCGACGCTCGACCGCGCCGCTGTGGAAATTGCGCGAGGCGACGCGTCCTTCGTCACTCGCGAGCGCTTCGCCGAAGTCGCGTGGCGCGAGATGGAGCGACATCGCTCCCATCCAATCACATCGGCGCCGTTGCGTCCGAGCAAAGGAAAACCGACGTCAAACGCGCTGCCCATCGAAACCACGACGTCTTTCGCCGTGGTCACGTGCGCCTGGTCCTCCGTCGCCGTCGTTCTCGATCGATGGCTCTCCGAGCGACCCGTTGACGGCGAGCGCCCGCACTCGATGAGCCCGCATCCGACCCCATCCATCCCGTTCGCCCAATCCACCGACGCCGACAAGCGACGAATCGTCCGTCGTCACGTCGAGCGCGTGTCGAAACTCCGTCGAACCGCCGAGTACGCTGTGCGCGCGGCGAGCGCGCGACTCAAATCCCGCCGTCCCGATGCGCACGACGACGTCACCCGCGCCTGGCGCACGTACGCCGCGTGCGCGTGCGCCTTCGACGCCGCCGTCGTCGCGCACGCGAGAGCGCTCGGGGCGTGAATCGCGCGCGCGGCGTCGACGCCGGCGCGCGCCACATGTCAATGACACAAACGCGTGGCGCCAACGAGCCGTCAGCAACCCCGCGCGCGCCGCGCGCGACACTCGACGACGCCGACGAGCGTCCGCGCGCGCGCGCGCTCGCGAGGGACCGTCACCACACCCAGGGCGCCCACGCATCGGCCGAGGCGCTCGAGCGCGTCGTGACGGCGCAAAATTTACCGCCGCCGCCGCCGCCGGGGCTGAAAAAACTCGATTGTCAACACGTCACCGTGTCGTCATGAGCTCCTCGTTCGCGAAGAAGCTGGCGGACAGCGATAAGAAGACGAGAGATAAGACATTCGTCGCGGTGGCGAAGTGGCTCGGCGCGCGAGAGACGATCACGGCGTTGGAGGCGAAGAAGCTGTGGCGCGGGTTGTTTTACTCGTACTGGCACGCCGACGGTAGGGCGACGCAATTGGACGTGGCGAATAAGATGGGCGCGTTGGTACACGATTTGAACCGAGATGTTGCGATGGCGTACATAGAAGCCTTCATGTGGACCATGCGGACGGAGTGGGGTGGGATAGATAAGCACAGGATGGACAAGTATTGTTTGTTGAGTCGCCGGGTGACGCACCACGCGTTACGGTTCGTGGGCGAGCGCGGATGGGACGCGAGCGAAGCGCTGGCGGGCGCGATGGCAAGTGGAATATTCGGTGACTCAAATCGAGGGATCGGGTTCAAGCTTCACATAGCGGGTTCCTTCTTAACAGAGCTCGAGGCGGTGTGCGCCGGGGTGTCGGGGCTGGAGTTGGAAGAGGGCGAGGAAGAGGTTGATGGCGGTGTCGCGGTGCCGATCGCGAGCGAGGACCTCAGCAGACTCGTCGAGACGTTTGTTCAAGCGCTTCAACGCGAGGAGAGTGCGGTCTTGCACAAGCGCATGCGAGAGGAGCTGTTCGCTCCTCTCGCGGATGCGTCGCGTATGTGGGACAAGCCGGGCGCGCCAAGGCTGACGCCAAACTCGATGAAGAAGCTCTGCGAGGTCGCAATAACGCTCGGTGCGGAGAATGGGGTGGACGACGCGTGTCGAGAAGCATTATACGAGCTTCACGCGCTATTAAAGAAGGGTGCGAGCAAGACGGTGAAGGAGGCGACGGCTCGAGGCGAGGACCCGGAAGCCGAGGAAATCGCGCCCGCGAAGAAGAAGAAGAAAGCTGCGAAGAATGGCGTTGAGATGAACGGGAAGAAGGAAAAGAAAAAGAAGAAGGAAAAGTCCCAGAAAAACGACGGCGGCGCCGACGAGGACGACGATGACGCGAAGGAAGCGGCGACGAAGGAAAAAAAAAGACGAAAGAGAGAGAAACGACTCGCCGAGGAAGAAGCCATGGAGAAACGCAGCACCAAAAAGCAAAAGAAGGCGAAGAAGCGCGACGCGGAGAGAGAGGCTGACGTTGCCAACGGGAGCAGCGAGCCAAATGGATCGAAGCTCCTGGCGATGCGCGCACTCGATCGCGCGAACACCGCGTCGCCGACGCCGTCGCTTGAGTCGTACGATTCCGGGTCGATGTCGCCTCGGTCGAAGCGCTTGATGTGGAACGACGACGCCGTGACGTACTCCTTCCCGGACGTTCGCGGACCCATTAACACCAACCGCGGGAAGCGTAACCTTCGCTTGACGCCGACGAAGACCATCTTCCGACCGATTCACGGGAAGACGCACAAGGCGCCGCTCAGCGCGCCAAATCCGAGCAAGACGTCCTCAAAACTGGGTCCGTCCGCGAGTAAATCCAAGCGTCCAGCCGAGAGCTTCTTCTAACGCACTCGATCGAAAAACCGAAAAGCACGCAACAACGCGCTCGACACGCACTGAACGCGTTGTAATCATCCATCGAGTCGTCTCTAGTCCATCCGCCGCCGCTCCACGCGCTTCACTCTCCGTCATGTCCCTCGAGGAGATCGACTGCGAGTTCATCGCCCGCGATCGTCGCGGGGCCGCGAAACGCGTCGTGGGTGACGTGTTGGAGTGTCAGATCGCGCTCAAGCGCGCGTGCGTGTCCAAGAATAGCACGAAACAACATGCAGGGGAAGAAGCGCGTGACTCTCAGAAATCTATCATCACCCGCGCTGCCGCTCTGAAACGCGCGCTCACCGGGTTCGGCGCCCTGAGCGCGCGCGCAATCATCGACGCCACGATCGGCGCCGACGCACGGGGCGCGAGCGAGATGCGAGCGGCGATGGCCTGGCACGGCGCGCGGGAGATTTTGGCGTGCGCGGACGAAGGCGGTCGGTGCGTCGTCCGGGACGTCGAGAGGCTTCAATCGGACGATACGCGAGCGACGCAGAACGAGGACGATGGGTCGGAGACGACGACGACGTTGAGACATCGCGCGCATGGACGATGCGCGTCGATGGCGTGGCGGCCGCGCTCGGGGCGGACGCTGGCGCTCGGCGGCGCGAGCGGGGTGTCGGTGTGGACGCGCGAGAGACGAGGGACGAGAGCGACGAGCGCGGTGGCGAGCGAAACAGGGGCGTTGAGTCCGATAGATAGCGCGAAGATTCGGGCGCTGGCAAACAGCGGGACGAGCGGTGAGAAGGCGGGACACCGGTGGCGGTTGACGATATATAACGAGCGCGGCGCGCACGAAGCCGGACCGAACGCCCCGCCCGGGGGCGCGTGCGAGGCCGAGCGCGTGGCGTGGAGCCCAGATGGGAGACTTCTTGTCGCGTGCTCGCGGCGATGTCGGGTGATTCACTGTTGGGACGCGAGCGCTGGGACGTACACGCCTATCGGCGCGGGTGTCGCCGGGTTGTCCGAAGTCGCCTTTAGCGCGTGCGGCGGCTATCTCCTCGCCGCGCACGTCGGCGAGGGGTTCGCCGTGTGGAAGTTAGATGACATGACGTGTAGGAAATGGTGTACGAACGGTCGCGAGGTCACCGCGGTAACGTGGGGCGAGGTGAATGAGAAGCAAGGGAGCGCTCCCGTCGCGCTCGTCGCCACGCGCGGCTCCGCGAAGCTCTCCGCCGTGCACTTATCCTCAAGAGATTCCGTGAGCGACGTCTCTGCTCACGTGCTCCCGATCGAGCTTCCGGAAATCGTCACCACGACCGGTTCTTCGGGATCGAACGAGTGTGACATCGCGGACATGGATTGGGACGCCACGAGCTCGCGACTCGTACTCGCCCTGCGCGGCGGCGCCCGAGACGGTTGCGTCGCCGTCTACGCGACACGCACGACGAAAATCGTCAGCGGAAGCCTCATTGGTTACTTCGCCGTGATTGGTGACGACGCGGGTGATCGAATCGCCGCGAACGCGGTTAAAATCTCCGCCCCGCGACGCGTCGGCTCTGACCGCGTGCGAAGCACGCTCGCCGTCGTCGTCGACTCCGGCGACGTCGCTCTCGTCCCACTCACCTACGCCGTCCCGCACACTATGCGCACGGCATTGTGATACGACTTTCGAGTCCGTGCAACATCAATCACATCGAGCGCGTCACCCGTCGCCCGCCGCGCGCGTCGTCCGCACTCGTCGCCTCTCGCGCCATGCGCGCGATCGCGGCTTCTCCCGCGCGTCCCCGCGCGCGCCCCTCCGCCGCGTCCGTCGTGAAACACCGTTCTCCCGGCGTCGTTCGCGCCGGTAAATCCACCCGCGGGCTCTTCGACGACGTCCTGGACATGTTAGAGGGTGGGAAGAAGCTCAGGCGTTGGTACGGCTCGGACAGTTCCGTCGGCGCGCGCGGCGCCCGCGCGAACGACGACGCCGACGACGCCGACGACGACCCCTCCGTGAACGAGACCGCGCCCGAGGACGAGGACGAGGACGTGGAGTTGGATGTGCCGCGCACGGCGATTCTCGTCACGAATGCGACCGGGACGCTGGGCGAGAGCGTGTGCGCGCGGTTGATCCTGGCCAAGGCGAACGTCGTCGCGGAAGTGGGCGAACGCGAACGCGCGAGTGCGGAGGGGCGGTTCGGGCCGTACGCGCGGTTGGCGAGCGATGCGTGGTCGGTGGGGGCGCGGTTGAACGGCGTTCGGGCGGTGGTCGCGTGCGGCGCGTTGGACAGCGGGTTCGTCGACGCGTGCGTGCGACGGAAGGTGAAGCACATCGTGTTGGTGTCCTCGGCGAAGAGCGCGAGTAATGGATTGTTCGCGAGCGCGGAGGAGAAAGCGCGGTGGGATCGTGGGAGAGAGGCGGAGTGCGCGGCGAGCGGGTTGGCGGTGACGGTGATACGACCGACGCGGGTCAAGGAGGCGCCGGGCGGTTCAAAGGAGATCGTCTTCGCGCAGGGGGACACGGCGAGCGGGGAAATCACGGTTGAAGATCTCGCGGAGACGTGCGCGCGAGCGCTGACGAAACCGCCACGCGCGGGTACGGCGCTCACGTTTGAGGTGTCGAACGGTTCCGAAGCGCGGAGCGAGCGCGACGATTGGAACGCGCTCTTCAACTCGCTCAAGGCGTGAGCGCTCGCGCGTCGATGCGTTCGCAACCATGATTATCGCTAAGCCTATCGCGTGTTGTTACAACAATCAATTCGATCAATTTACGCGCGCGCTCACACGCGTCCCGGTCGACCGTCCCGGTCACGCCATCCACGCCCAGCGCTCCGAAACCACCTTACGCACGAGGGACGACCCCAATCCCGGGATATCCGCCACGCGCACCGAAGTCGCCTCATCCGACGCGTCCGTTCGGAGGGTCGACGCGAAACGGAACCACAGGGCGACGCACAAACCCGCGAGACTGAAACTCAACACCCTGACGCTCGCGCCCTCGATCGTGGACGCGCACCGGTTGCCTTCGCGCGGTTTTGCAGACGCGTCGAGCAGGCGCTCGCGCTCGCCCTCTGATGACGCACCGACGCTCGAGGCGGCGACGCGACGCGGGACGAGCGACTCGCGCGCGGTCGACATCGCGCCCGGCGAGGCGGCGTGTGCGAACCGGGACAAGCGGGAGCGCGATTTCGTTGAGCGACCAAAGTTCGATCACGCCGACGCGAGGTTACTGAGCGGGACCAAACTCTGTGGCGTCGTCGGGGCGCGACAGAGCGGACACTCGGGTTTTTTACTCGCCCATCCGGCGACGCATCGCCAACAGAAGACGTGCCCGCACGGCGTCGCCGTCGGCGCGCGTCTTTGGGAGAGACACAAAGCGCACTTAGCGGCGACGAGCGGCGAGATAGACGCTGACGATGGTTTCGCTGACGTGCCCGGAACGTCGATGACGTTCCCGAAGACATCTCTCGGAGGATCCGGCGCGGCGTCGACGACCACCTCCCGCGCGGGCGTTCCGTCGGATTCGAGTACTCTGTTCTCCCTCGCGCGGCGCTCCGCGGACGCGTCGCCGCCCACGTTCGCCCCTCGCACGACGCTTCTTACGCGCTCGAACGACACCACGGCGAGTTGAAACGCGACGAACATCCCCAACACAGCGTAACTCGGTCGCTCTTCGCCCGCGTACGCGCCCGTAAACACCCTACGCGTCCCGCTCGCTCGACAGCTCCACTCGTAATACTCGCCGTAGAGGTAAAACAACGCCAAGTGCGCCGCGTTCGCGAACCCACCGCGCGCATCGATCGCCCGCTCCCCGTGTGAGATCTCATCTTCTTCACCCACGCGCTGCACGCGTTCGCCCGCGAGCGCGAGCGCGACGCGCGCGCCGCCGTCCGCCGCGCGCGCCGCCGCGCGCGCCCCGCTCTCCCGCAACCCCACCCCGCGTTCGACATTTCGTTCCACCCATCGTCGCGCGCCTCGAATGACTTCATCACCGAACGCGTGCACCAAAAACCGCGTCACGCGCGACGTCGTCGACGGCGTCCGTCCCTCCGCGTCGACGCACGTCACGTCGCAGTACTCCTCGCCGAGCGTCCGCGTCCCGCTCAGAATCGTCAATCCTGGATAGAACGCCCGCCCGATCGCTCGAACCGTCGACGCGCGCGTCGCGAGCGCGCGCGGGCCGACGACGCGGGCGACGCAATCGGTGAATCGCTCCGCCAGCGCCTGCGCGCGCGTGTGTTCGTCAGTCGTCACGTCGCGGCGATGTGGTGAATGAATCATCGACGCGGCGTCGCGCGCGCGGCGAACGCGTGCGACGCGCGCGCACCGAGGCGACGGCGTCGTCTTTTTGCGACGCTCGGACGACGTCCGGGGGCGCCGCGGCGGGGAATCCGCCGAGCGGCGTCGACATTCGCGCGCGTCGATGAATGATGACGAGACATCGCGGCGCTCGACGTGCGCGCGGGCGTCGAGGGCGGCGCGAGGCGTCGGGACGACGCGCGACGACGCCGCGGCGCGCGGGGGGCGGCGAGGCGGGCGCGCGCGGCGGCGAGGCGGTCGGGGGCGGAGAAACACGTCATGGAGACGATGCTGGAGAGTAAAAGACGAATCACTTCAACGAGCGATGACGCCGACGCGGTGGTGCTCGGGGCGACGTGTTACGGTGCGTTATGACGCGTGTCAGGCGTGCCGTTTGAACGCGGCGTGCGTGGGGGCGAGAGATCGCGATGGTGGATCGACTGACGACGGTTCGAGTCGCGCGACGCGTCCCGCAGCGCACTTTTCGCTCGTCGACGCGTCGTCGGGAGAGACGGTCAGGGATACGCGCGCGGACATGGAACCCGTGCAGTTCGTCGTGAGCGCGCGCGTGGGGTTGAGGGACGACGTCGGGCGAAGCCGAAGCGCGGGGGTGGGGATAGAGGGATTGGACGCGTGCGCGAGGACGATGCGCGTCGGCGAGCGCGCGACGTTCGAGATTCCGCCCGAGCTCGCGTACGGCGAGGAGGGAAATTTTTCGTTCCCAGCGGTGGGGAAGAATAAGACGTTGACACTAGATTTAGAGATTTTGGGATGCTTGGGATCGGTGGAGGCGCCGGAGACGTTGCAGAGAGACATGACGTACGAGACGCGGATTGAACGCGTGAAGATGCATCGAGCGAATGGAAACGAAGCGTTCGTCGCGGGCGACGTGAAGCGAGCGATTCGCGAGTACTCCATGGCGCTCACATATCTCACAGAGGACTTCATGATGCAGCTGTTCGATAAGTACGAGGTGGAGGCGAGAGAGGAATACGTCGCGGTGCACGGAAATTTAGCAGCTGCGTTCCTGCGATTGAACGAGTACGAACTCGTCTCGACGCACGTCGAGTACGTTTTGCGAAACGACGAGAACAATATCAAGGCATACTACAGGCGCGGTAAAGCGCGGTTGGCGATCGGACACGAGGACGCCGCGCGCGAGGACTTGCTGAAGGCAAAACGACTCACGGACGCGGCTGGGATCAAGGATGCAAACATCACCACCGCGCTTCGCGAGCTCGAACAGACGGTGCGAGATCGTGAGCGCGAAACCTCCGCAGTATTTCGAGGTATGTTTGGTGATTCCTCGAAGGTAGACACATCGAACGTGGCGCCGAGCGGGTCCGAGCCGGCGACCCTAGAATCTCACGCGCCGTCTGGTGGTTTCGTGAGCAGTCTCATCACGAAGTTGATGGGATCGAGGCGATGACGGGACAGTCAGAGATCACGCATCGACGGCACTTCGTCGCGCGCGGTGCCCGCGAGAATGGCGAAAGACGATGAGGAAGCCGAACTCACGGGCGCATCCGCCCTGTGCGCAGTCGCTGCAGCGAGCGGCGTCGAAGTGTGCTTTGCCAATCCTGGAACGACGGAGATGCACATTGTGGGCGCGCTCTCCGAAGCGAAAAACATACGCTCCGTCTTGGTTCTCCACGAAAACGTCGCCACGGGCGCCGCGGATGGTTTCTCCCGCATCGCCACTCGTGATCGTAACGCCATGGCGATGACGCTTCTCCACCTCGCGCCGGGGCTCATGAATGGTCTGTCCAATTTACACAACGCGTTCCGGGCGAGAAGCTCGATTCTCAACGTCGTGGGCGACATGTCCACCTTTCATCGCGGTGTCGGCGCGCTGTTGGAGGGCGACATTGAATCTCTGGCGAAGACGGTTTCGAAAACATACGTGCACACGGTGAACGACGCGAACGCTGTCGCGTCTCACACCGTCGATGCGATCGAGGCGGCGAAGAACCGAAGCGTGTCGACGCTCGTTGTTCCACACGACGTGAGTTGGAGCACGGCGAACGCGAGCGAGCTCGAGACGCAGCTTAAACGCACCAAGGAACTTAAGGAACTTCGACACACTCTCGGTACCGTCGTTTCTGAGGATATCAAAGGGTTTTTCCGGCAATTGATCGCGCGTGCGAAAGACCTCGCTCCCAGCGAGTTGTTGTTCTACATTGGCGGCGACGCGTGCGGCGCCGATGAACTTCGCATTGTCGGCGAGATCGCATCTGCACTCAGTGCTGACATCGTGTGCGAGTGTTTCTTCACCAGCATCGCTCGTGGTGGTGACCTCCGCAACGTTCCGGTTCGACGCGCGCCATACTTACCAAAAGACGCCGCCGCCGCTTTCGCAAAGTACAAAGTTGTGTGTTTCCTGGACGTCCCGAAACCGCCGGTGGCCATGTTTGGATACGAAGACGCCCCACGTGAGCTCTTCACCCAGGGCGAAGACGACGTGTGGATCATCGATCCGCCCGGTAAGATGGCTATGATTGACATTTTGCGCGCGATCGCGAGCGAGTTGGATTTGGAATGCGGCGTCCAGGCACCGATGTTGCCAGACATCGAAGACGTCAGAGCTGGTGTGGAAGCCATTGTGTTCGAGGTTCTAGGAAAACCCATTGACGATTCTGACGATTCGCTTTGGAACCACGGGATGACGAGTACCAAGGCGGTGTCGTGTCAGGCAAAGCTGTGCAAGGATTTCGATGTGAAACTACAGACGACGCTTCTGTTCGATCACAACACTCTCACAACGCTCACTCGAGCCGTAGCGACCAAATTGGGCGTCTCGACCTCTCCGTCGCCGCATAAAGCCAAAAGGAGCCCGCCATCTGTGCTGAACGTGTTCCCAACACCCGATCGAGTTGACGCGCTCATTGAAGGCGCGTTGGATGGTTCCAAAGTTTGCAAAATCGTCGCGAGTATGCAGCCCAAAGGATGTGTCGTCGTCGACGAATCACTCACGTCCGGATCGACGTACTGGAATGATTCCGCGTCGTGTGATGACTTCACGCACATGACGCTCACTGGTGGTTCGATCGGTTTCTCTCTCAGTGCCGCCGTGGGCGCGTCCATCGCCGCGCCCGATCGACGGGTCATCACTCTCGTCGGCGACGGATCTGCGCACTACACTATTCAAGCGCTGTGGACGCAGGCTCGCGAGAAATTAAATGTGACCACTGTGATCATGAATAACGCGAAGTATCAAATACTGCGCGTCGAGTGTGCGATTCAAGGCGTGCAACCAAGCTCTGGTGACGCGTGCGACGCGTTGACGGACATCGGCGATGTGGATTGGGTGAAAATCGCCGAGGGGTACGGAGTTCGCGGGATTTGCGCGCGAAATGCGCGAGAGTTCAAGGACGCGTTCAAGTTGACGCTCGAGACGGACGGCCCGGTCTTGATCGAAGCCGTTCTCAGCGACTGAGCGCGTGCGTTTCAATTCATTCGTACATTATATTCGTTCATTCTCCGACAGTCTCAGCCGCGCGCACCTCTGCCAGTTGGCTTCGACTCTCCTTTCGCTGCACGTAAACTCGACTCCTCGTGATTTCTGCCTCCTGGTCCCGAATTTTCGCTGTCAAATCGGCAATCGCGCGGAGACGCGTCGTGAGTTCAGTAGCTATCCCTTTCGATTTTGGCTTCTCCCAACCCTCTGCGAAGCGCACGACGCCGAGAGTGCCGTCCACGCTGGCGTCAACCTCGCCGCGACTCACCATGCCGTGCAACATCGTCTCAGCGTGCGCGGCGTCCGTCAAGTCCAGCAGTCTCGCGAATTCACTCAGGCTAAGTTTCGAGTACGTCTTCGCGACCGCTCGCACGCGGTCGATTTGCACACGTTCGCGTAAGAGGTCTACCAATCCTGCATTGCCGTCCTCCTCATACGCCGTCTGGTACTTCTCGATTGTCTCGTTCAGTTTCTCCAATGATGTCAGGGACATCACGCTTACGAGCGCGTCGTATGACTCAACATGACGCGACATCGCGAATCGTCGCACTGGCCCCGACACGGAGCTCGGAATAGCTGCTCGCGTCCGGTCCGACGAGCGCGAAAGCAGCGAAGCCAAGATGTACTTTTTGTACCCCGCCGAAGCGATCGCGCTCAAATCTTGCCAGGCGGGCGCCACCACGGCGTCGCGCAACCAACACACGGCGTCATCGTACCGTTGCAGCGCCAAAAGCGCGCACCCACCGTAGTAGCATCGCGCGATGTAATCGTCCGCGACCAAGCCCGTCGACGCCGGATCCGACGCTTCCGAAACGCGTGTAGTCAAAATCCCGCTCTCCACCGCCACGTCGTACGCCTTCGCCTCGACGCACACGCGCAAGAACGCGGCATCTTGCGGCGTCATCGACGGCGACCTGCCTCCCTCCCCTAACGCTCGCGCGCGCGCTCTTCCGAGCGCGAGCGCCAACGTTCGGCCGTCCACCGCTTTCGCGCGTCCGCGACACCACGCCTCCGACGCGTACCGACACGTCTGCGCCACCTCACACGGATGCGCCGCATCGACATCATCCTCTGTACCATCCCCATCAGCCTCCATCGCGTCCGCGCCCGTCGTCATCGCCCGCATCGCCCGCTCCACGAACGCCGAGTCGTCCCGCGCCCGCGTCTCATCGTCAACCTTCATCTCTCCGTCCACGACGTCGTTCGACGCCATCGACCGCGCGTACCCCCCGAGCACCGCGTGCGCGAACCCACACCCCGCGTCGTCGCCCATCGCGTCGTCCACGGCGCGCCAAAACGAATCGTCATCCACCGACCGTCGTACGAACGCGTCGACGACCGCTCTCTTCTGCGCCTCTCGCTTCTCCCACGCCGACGCGTCGACGCTCCCGCGTCCACGGCTCGCGCCGGTGCGTCGCGCGACCTCGTACGCCGCCCGCGCCTCTCGCGCGGCGTCCTCGAGCGCCATCGCGGCGTCGTCGCGTGCCGCATCGCGCGACGGTCGATCGATAGGTGATCGATAGGTGATTTCTCGAAAGGCGCGCGCGCGATCGAAAGGTGCGCGCGCCTTTGGACATTGCATCGATCGCGCCTGTCGATGGACGTCCGCGGGCATCGAGCGACGCACGGCGACGCGCGAGACGATGCGCGCGATCGCGTCCTCCGTTCGCCTCGCGCGCGCGCCCGCGGTGGGGCGTCGCGGCGCGCTCGATGGACGCCGCGCGATCGCGCGGCGCGCGAGCGAGGGCGCGACCGGGGCGCGCGTGGACGGTGACGATGATGATGATGACGTCGTCGAATCTGCGTCCGATGCGGATGGGACGACGACGACGACGGCGACGACGACGGCGACGATCGTCGAGGCGCCGGCGTCGATGCCGGTGGACGCGAAGGAATCGGCGACGCCGATCGCGGTGGACGGGGCGTACGAGCTGCGACAGCGAACGACGCCGAAACGATTCGCGGTGGCGGACGGCGAGCTCGGAAACGTGCTGACGGCGAGCGCGGGGATTCCGCTGAGGTTGACGAGTGGATTGGCGTGCCACGGGTACGGGGCGAAAATCGTCGATGGGGAGGCGCCGGCGGGGACGTACACGCTGTGGAGTGGGAGTGGACGTCGGGTGGAGGAGACGAGCGACGTCGCGAAATTTCCGAAACCGGAAAAGACGCTCAAGTTGTACCAATTCCAAGGATGTCCGTTCTGTCGAAAGGTTCGCGAGGCGATCGTGTCGCTGGACTTGGACGTGGAGATTTACCCCACGCCCAAAGACGGGCCCGAATACCGACCGTACGTTCGCGAGGTTGGCGGGAGGGCGCAGTTCCCGTACCTCGTCGATGAAAACACCGGAAAGTCCATGTACGAATCCGACGATATCATCTCGTACCTGTACGAGACGTACGGCCCGGGCAAGGCGAACATTACACCTCTGTTGACGAATCCGTTCACGAGCATCACCGCCGGGTTCGCGATGTTGCCGCGTCTCGGGAAGGGTTCGGCGTACAAGCCGTCCAAGAAACCAGAGAACATGCAACCAATCGTCTTCTATGGATACGAGGCGAGTCCGTTTTGCGTTCTCGTGAGCGAAAAGTTGTGCGAGCTCGAACTCCCGTACTTGATGCGAAACTGCGGACGTGGTTCCCCCAAGCGTCAAGAGTTGTTCGAAAAGCGCGGAACGTTCCAGGTGCCGTACATCGAGGATCCCAACTTTGGCGTCGCCATGTTTGAAAGCGCGGACATCGTCGCTTACTTGCAAGAAACGTACGGCGCGTGAGAAAATGTGTAGAAGATGATTACGCTTCGACGATTGGATTTTCTCTAACACTCAATCGATTATCATTTACCAACCAATTCTTTTGTAAAATCACGCAGCTCAGCTACCCACTCATCTCTTCGAGTACAACACGGGCTTGCCCTGGATCACGCGACAGTGCTTGAGCAACTGCGACTCGATCGTCTGCCCTGGACGAGCCTGACCCTTGAGATACGGCTCGAGCTCCGCCATGGACCATCGCGGTTTGAGCGCCCACAACGCCTTGAATCGATCCTGCGGCTCCGTCGGGAGATCCTTCGCGATGAACGTTTGCACGAACGCCTCCGTAGATTTCTCCGGTCGCTCGATCAAGGCCAACCCAGCGAGATATTCCTCGCGAACCTCCACGGCGCCGAGACCAATTTCGCTCAGTTTGTTGCGCCACGTCTCCATCATGTCCACGAGGCGCCAATTTTTCAAACCCAAACCGTCTCGCAAGACGCGCTCGGCGAGTGCGCGACACACCCGCTCTTCGTCCAGCGCCCACGACGTGCCGTCATCGTTCGGCGTCGCGAACGCCCTGAGTGTGTTCATCGCCATCTCCGGAATGAATCCGTCGCTCGTCATCGCGCGCGTCACCTCCGCCTCGGGCAGCGCGTCGAGCGCCCATCCGTTCCCGCTCGCGCTCACCGCGAGCATCGACAGCGCGTGCAACCTGTACTCCGGATCCACCCCTCGCCATTTCCCATCGATCTCTATCGCCACCAGCTCGTCTTCGAGACACCGCGTGATCTCCGTCGCGCTCGCCTGCACGCGCGCGTCCAAATCCTCAAACGCGTACCCGTCCAACGCGCCCCCCCCGCTCGCCGCGTCATCCGTCTCCATCCCCTCCACCCCGCCCTCACCGGTAAACGCACATCCCGACATCATCTCTCGCAATCGTCCGAGCCTCGGCGCGATCTCCGTCAGATCCAAATGCGACGTCGCCCGCGCTCGCGCCGTGGCCCGCCGCCGCCCGTTCGTCGCCGCCGCCGCCGCCGCCGCCTCCACCACCGCCTCCTCGTCGTCGATCGGCGGGCCCACGAGCAGCATCTCGTTCGACGTCTCCACCCGCGTCACCGCGTACGTCTTATCGCTCGAGCACACCACGGCGACGTCATCCGCGAGTCCTTTGAACGCGATCGTGCCGTCGGCGGACACGATGCGGTCGATCAAATCCGCGTCGATCTCCAGGAGCTCCACGCGCGCGCGCTCGAACCCGGGTCCGCGCACGAGATCGAACGACTCATCGGGGCCGGTGACGAACGCGCCGTCGACGTACGCCTCGCGCGAGACCGCGGCGTCGTCGAGCGCCATCGCGTGCCGCATCGCGCGACGGTCGATCGATAGGTGATCGATAGGTGATTCGTTGAAAGGCGCGCGTGCGATCGAAAGGCGCGGGCGCCTTTGGAACGAGGGTCGATCGCGCCTTTCGATGGACGGGCGTCGGCGCGACGGCGCGCGAGAGCGCGTCGCGTCGCGGGCGTCGCGATGGCGGGCGACGCCGCGCGGGAGGCGCGGAAGAAGCAGCGCGAACTCGAGGAGGGGCGGAAGGTGCGCGCGGGCGACGCGCGCGCGTGGGGGGGGGGATGGGAGAATGTCGAGCGCGCGAGGGTGGATTCGACGATGGATTCGTCACGAGCGCGCGGTGCGCGGGGCGCGAGGGGCGACGGACTGACGGAACGCGACGCGCGGGGGATGATTCGTAGGCGGGGTTGATACCTCCGGAGATCGACGCGGATGGGAACGCGGTGAACCCGCACATTCCGCGATTCATGGCGGCGGCGCCGTGGTACTTGAATCAAGACGGACCGGGACTGAAGCATCAAAAGGCGCCGGAGAAAGAGCAGGAGTCGACGAATTGGTACAAACGAGGAGTGAGTTCGAATCGAGCGACGACGTTTCGAAGAGGGGCGTGTGAAAACTGCGGGGCGATGACGCACAAGAAGAAGGACTGCATGGAGCGACCGCGAGCGAAGGGCGCTTCGAAGACGCAGAAAGACATCGCGCCGGACGAATACGTGCAACCGGAGCTCAAACTTGGTTTTGAGAGTAAGCGAGATCGGTATAACGGATTCGACGTGAACGATTACGCCAAGGTTGTGGAGCGGTACGAGGCGATGGAAGCGATAAAGCAGAAATTGGCCAAGGAAAAAGAGCTCGAAAAGGCGTTCCGAAAGGCGAATAAAAAGGAGGGCGACGCGAGCGATTCGGATGAGATGAGTTCGGACGACGATTCGGACGACGACGACGACGCGAAGGTTGGCGATGCGTCGGTGACAGGATTTGACAACATAAAGCGCGCGGTGCGCGCGCCGGGCGGCGGCGCGTCTGGAACCGTTCGTAATTTGCGCCTTCGTGAGGATACGGCCAAATATCTGCGCAACTTGGACGTAGACTCGGCGTATTATGACCCGAAGACGCGCTCGATGCGCGAAAACCCGACGCCGAACGCCGATCCAAAGGACAACTTTTACCGCGGCGACAACGCCGCGCTAAACTCTGGCGCCCTCGTCGAGTTCGAGCGTATGACCAGGCACGCGTGGGAGCAGGCGGAGACAGGAGGTTCGAGCACTATCCACATGCAAGCCGCTCCGTCGCAGGCGGAAGCACTGTACAAGCAGTTCAAGGAAAAGAAGGAAAAACTTGCAGTGCAGAGCAAGCAGGGTATCATGGATAAGTACGGGGATGCGAGTTCGGGGAAGGCGCCGGAGGGACTAGCGCTCGGACAGACGGAACAATACGTTGAATACGATCGAGCGGGCCGTCTCATCAAGGGCACGGAGAAGGAGCCGGTGAGGAGTCGTTACGAAGAGGATGTGTACTTGCAGAACCACACGTCGGTGTGGGGATCATTTTGGAACGCCGGTAAGTGGGGCTACGCATGCTGTAAGAGCACGTTGAAGAACTCGTACTGCACCGGAGAGCGTGGCGCCGCGGCTTCGCTCGCGACCGAGGAACTCATGGCGAGCAACGTCGAGAACAAGCGCGCGATTGACGAGGCAAATGATGCGAGGGCGAAATCGCAACTCAATGCCACCGCGAAGCCAGAAAGTTTGTGGGGAGGCGACGTCGCTGACGACGTGCAGATCGATCCAAAAAAGCTTGTCGATGCGTTGAAAAAGCACGATGAACGCGAGGAGGAAAGCAAGAAGGGTAAGAACAAGCGAGGATACAACGTCACGCACGATTCCACAGTGACCGCAGAAGACATGGAAGCGTACAGGATGAAGAAGCGTTCGACCGAGGATCCGATGAATCGCGCCGCGGGAACCGACGGGTACGATTTGGTGTAATAGTCTAATTCGTTTGTGTAACATTTCTTTGATGAAAATTCATCAGAACACCGCGATTTGGTCGACGAGGTCGCCGTGTACGGCGCTCACCTTCTCGATCCAGTCCTCCAGACGTCCCGAGAGTTCGGCGATTTGCGATCGAAGCAGCACGCGCGGCTGCACCCACGTCACCACAACCTTACTTTCCACCTGGTCGATAATGCCCTCGATCAAGTGCACACTAAGCGCCTTCATGAGTAGGTACTCAACCCCGTCAATGGTCAACTTGGTCTTCGCCGCGATGTCGCTCAAGGAAATCTCCCGATGATCGGCGGGGAGTTTGAAAATAATTTGCAGCAGCGATAAAATCGTGATCTTTTCTCGGAGTTTGCGCTCGTTTGCCACGAGCGCTGGCTGCGCGTTCAGGCTCTTCGCGTGCTTGACGCACAGCTCGTCGTACAGGTGTAAATCGCCCTCGTTGAACGCTTTGACCACGTCCATGAGCCATACGAACGGACCCTCCTTGATGCTCTCCACGATCGGGTGCTCGAGAAGCTCGGCAAAGTTATACACGTTCTCCCCCAAGAGCGCGGCGAGGCAGAGATCGACGCTTAGCGCCGCGCGCGTCTCGCTCGGCAACAACTCGCAAGAGACGTACGCCAAGTAGAGCATCCCGCTCTTATAAAACTCCGCGTACTCCTCCTTCACCTTGTGATACCGACTCGCGACGTAATGGAACGCCGCACTCACGCTCGGATCCGGCGCCACGAGCGCCTCCAGCTTCGCTTTATCCGTCTCCGTCACCGCCTTTTTCGCGTAATCCAAGTCGCCCTCCAACAATCTCAAAAGCGTCACGTGCGCCGAAATGTACGCCTCCGGCTCCGCTGCCTCGCTTCCGTGCGCCTCCACCAATCTCTTAGACGTCTCCGTGAGAAACTCCATCGCTTCCGCCCGCGTTCCCGCGCCCGGCGCGTCGCTCGCCGCGACGGCCAACTGCGCCGTCTTCAACGGATTAAACCGCGTCTCCGCCTCTCGCACGACGCCGTCGTACAGCGCGCGCGCCCCTCCCGGGAGCGCCTTCACGACGTCATCGACGCACGGCGGCGCCAGCGCGCGCTCGATCGCGAGCGTGAGTTCGTGCCAGAGCTTTCGTTTTCGAAGATCCGCGATCGCACCGAAGATCTCTTTCGTGTCCTCCCGCACCCCCGCGTTCGCGGCGACGAAGCGCTCGAGCGCGGCGTCGACGTCGTCGTCCATCGCGCGCGGCGTCCGCGACGGCCTCGCGGGCGTGGACGCGCGGTGAGTGACGCGCGAGCGCATCGGAGGCGTCGCCACCGCGCGCTTTGACCGCACGTCGCGACGCGCTCGATCTCGCGCGTGGACCGCGGCGTCGTCGACGCGGGCGCGCGCGCGAGAGCGGACGACCATGCGCGCGCGGTGGCTCGCGCGCGCGCTCGAGCGCGATGGGCACGCGGTGTGCGTTGGATGGATGGCGAGACCCTCGATCGAATCCCTCGCGACGACCTCGCGCGCGTTCGGTGCGAAAACGGATGATTCGGACGGCGCCAAGGACGAGGTGGACGCGCGTTTGAGCTCGCGCGCGGGAGAGGGGGACTCGGGGGCGTCGACGACGGAGCAACAGCGACCGGGACGGGTGCGGAGCGATAGGTTGTTCTACCCGGGACAGGCGTACGAGGCGGAGGATCTCGCGGGGGCGAACGCGGGGACGAGAGGCGCCGCGCACACGGTGGCGGCGAAGACGGTGAAGCACCCGATGCGAGGGAAGGCTGTGGAGGCGACGCTGTTGGAGCGGACGTCGTTCGAGGACGCGAGGTTTTTGACGCAGTTTGTGAGCGACACCGGGAAGATTTACCCAAAGAGAAGGCTCGGGGTGAGCGCCAAGGCGCAGCGAAAGATCTCGCGGGCGATCAAGACGGCGAGACAGATGGGAATATTGCCCTACACCAGTCGCCTGCCGCAATTTCAGCGATCGAATAACATGTTGTAGTAGGCCACGGCGGGGTGTCCTTCGCTCTTTTAGTAGTACAACGTCGAGGGAACGGGGCGTCTTCACCCCAAACCCATCAACTGCCTCAATCCACTCTCGAACTCCGCGCACGCGCGCTCCGCCTTCTCCAGCGCCTCCAAACACGCTCTCGCCTCTGTCTCGCACGTCGCCTTCGCGTCCGCCGCCCTGCGCGTCGCCTCCGCCAAAGTCATCTCCGCCATGAATCCCAACCCAACGTCCACGAACACCGTCTCCGCGCTCGGCACTCGCGCGCGCGCCTTGACCTCCCCGCCCAGGTCCACCAGCGCCTCGAACGCGCCCTCGGGGTCGTCCCTCTGCATCAAAGTCTCGAGCTGTTTCGCGAATTCACACCACTGCTCTACATCCTCCAACGCGCTCTCGTGCGCCCGTCGTCGCTCGTCTCGACTCGGGACGAGGGTGTCGCGATAAAACGCGAGCAACGTCGCCTCGCGCATCGCTCGCGTCGGACGAGAGACGACGCACCGCGGTGTGACGTCGACACTCGCGACCGGGACGTCGCGTGCACTTTATTGTTCGTCGCGCAATGGCGACGCTCGCGTCCGCGTCGTCGACGCCGACGAGCCGTAGATCGGTGCTCGTGAAACCACTCGTGGGCGCGGTCGCGTGCGCGATCCCGCTCGCTCCGCGACGCGTCGACGCGGCGGTTGTTTCTTCGACTGAGAGCTTTGTCAAAGCCAAGGATGGTTTGAGATATTACGACGCCGTCGTCGGGAGCGGACCGGAAGTCTACGCCGAGGACGCGGTGATCATTCTCTTCACCGCGCGCGTGCTCGACGCGGCGGACGAGGAGCGGAGACGGGCTGGGGACACGTTCAGTCCTTTCGTGGTCGGCGGCGCGGGCGCTTCGGCGAGCAAAGGCTTCAAGTTCGTCGTCGGCGACCCGACGGGGGATATCATCCCGGGTTGGGAGCGCGCGTTCGAAGGAGATGGGGTCATGCCGAGAATGCGCATAGGTGGGAAGCGTGTGGTGAGAATTCCGCCTTCGTTGGCGTACGGAGACGCGGGACATTTATGCCGGGACGGCGTGCGAGGCGCGTGCGAAGTGAACCCGAACGAATCCGTGGAGATCGCTTTCGAGATCTTACGCTTCACGTGAATCGCTCGACGTAGGATTATCGTTGTGTTTTGTCAATTTATCGCTATTTTTCGCCATCGGTCGCGCTCGTCGTCTTCGGCGCCTCGACGAGGCCTTTCTTTATCATCCACTTTGGCGGCTCTTTCGGCGTCAGAGCCTTCACCGACACGGGAAAGATTCCGCGCGATCGCACCTCGAACGCCTCGTCTTCCTTCGCGTAAGCGCCGACGCCGACGACGTATTTCCTCGCGTCGTCATCATCCCTCGAGCGCGTGGAGAAGACCTGCACGAAGACGACGAACGTGGGATCCTTCAAATCGACGGTTACGTCGACGTCGGGATCGACCCTCTTAAACGCGCGCTCTATCGCGCTCGCCACGCTCGGCGTGATCCTCTTCCGTCCGTACACCGCGTCCTCCGACGCGCCCGCACCTTTCTCCCCCTTCGTGCTCTCTCCCAAGACGTTATCCAATCGTCTATACGTCACCGCCAGTCGCGTCGCCGCGCCCGCCGCCGCCGCGCGTCTCCTCCGAAACCGCCCGACGACCTCCGCGCACGCCCGCTCCAACCCCGCCCCATCTCCCGCCTCGAACGCGGCATCGATCGGGTACATCTTTTCAACCACTTTCGACCCATGATTCGCCCCTCGACGCGCGTCGCGCACCGCCTCGCTCGCGCGCGCCGCCGGGTCCGCCGCGCCGCCGCCCAGCGCCGCCGCCAACACCGCCCCTCGCGCCGCCATCTTCACCGGTCGCCACCGCGCGCTCTCCCCCCCCCCGGCGCGCGCGTCCATCATCCGCGCCACGTCACCGTACGCCGTCTTCTCCCGCGCGAACGCGCACGTGGCGAGGACGCCGCCTCGGAAATCATCATCGAGCATGCGCATCGCGCCCTCGTACTCAAATCGCGCGAGCGCCGACGCGCCCTCGTCCCGCGCGCGCTTCCCGCTCGGCGAGCGATCGCGCGCGTCCTCGGGCGCGCGTCGGCGCATCTCTTTCGACGCCCGCGCGCGCGCGTCCGCCATGGCGCGGCGTCGCGTCGTGCCGCGTCGCGACGATCGATCGATAGGTGCTCGATAGGTGATTTCTCGAAAGGCGCGCGCGTGATCGAAAGGCGCGCGCGCCTTTGGACACTGCATCGAGCGCGCCTTTCGATCGACGTCATCGCGCATCGAAAGGCGCGCGCGGGCGACGGGCGCGCGACGTCGCGCCGACGGCGCGCGCGGGCGACGGGCGCGCGTCGACGGGTAAGACGGGCCCCTGGACGCGCGCGCGCGCGGGAAGCGCGCGTAGGCGTGACGGACGAGACGCACGATGGCGCTTCGCCATGGATTGGTTCGACGCGCGGTCGAACGCGCGCGCGGCGTCGACGTGAGGCCGCGGAGCGCGCGCGCGCGCGGAAAGCACGCGCGTGTGGTCGTCACGAATGCCGCGAACGGGACGGGCGACGCGGGGGGGGGGCGAGACGCGCCGGGGATGACTTCGGGACGGCGGCGCGGCGCGCGCGCGCCGTTCGCGCCCTCGGGCGACCAGCCGAGCGCGATTGAGAAGTGTGCGGCGCTGTTGAGGGATGGTGATAGGAAGTACGTCTGTCTGAGAGGGGCCACGGGCACTGGGAAGACGTTCGTCGTGGCGAACGTGCTGGCGGGGATGGATAAACCGGCGCTGGTGGTCGTTCCGAATAAGACGCTCGCGGCTCAAGTCGCGCGCGAGTTGAGAGCGTATCTGGGCGAGACGCATCGCGTCGAGCTCTTCGTCAGTCATTTCTCGGTGTACGTTCCTGAGAGTTACAGCAACGGGAGGTACACGGAGAAGCGAAGCGCGATCGACGCGGATCTGGACGCGTTGAGACATCGAGCGACGCGCGCGCTCGTCGAGCCGGGAAAAACGCCTGTGATCGTCGCGAGCGTGTCGTGTCTGTACGGTTTAGGTTTGCCAACGGATTACGTCGATGCGGCGCTGACGATCGAGATCGGAGCGGCGGCGTCGGTGCATGGCATTCGCGGCTTGGAGAGTAAGCTCAGGGACGATTTGCTGTACGAACGCGTCATGCCGTACATGGAGGTCGAGCGCGGTCAGTTTAAAACCAGCCCGGCGCCGGACGACGAGAACTGTTTCACGGTTGAAATTTGGCCGCCGTATTTAGAGAGTGCTCTGGAGCTTCGCGTCCGAGAGAACGACGGCACGGTCGTCTCGTGCCAGTCACGAGGTTGTTCGATGCACAGTCTCACGATTTGGCCTCGCGTACACTACATCACTCCGGCGGAGCGTTTGCAGCGCGCCTTGGTGTCGATTCAGAACGAGTTGGAGGAGCAATCAAAAATGCTTCGCGGTGAGGGGTTCGCGATCGAAGCCGATAGATTGGAACAGAGGACGAATGCGGATCTGCAGCTACTGCGAGAGCTCGGTTGGTGCCCAGGCGCGGAGCACTACAGTCGACACTTGCGAGGGGCCAGGCCCGAGGAGCCGCCGGTGACGCTTTTAGATTACTTTTCATACTCCGCGGACGGTTCGAAGCAGAAGCGAGATTGGATTCTGGTTGCTGATGAATCACACGTTATGTTGCCCCAGCTCAGGGCGATGCACGGCGGAGACAGAAGTCGAAAGCTCTCCCTCGTCGCTGCGGGATACCGTTTACCTTCGGCGTTGGATAATCGTCCGCTCATGAGCGAAGAGTTTTGGGAGCGCGTTCCTCAAGCACTGCTCGTCAGCGCGACTCCGGGAGACATCGAGACGTCTTGGGTGGGCGGAAAATCGAGCGACGCCATGGTGGACATGGTCGTGCGACCAAGCGGCGTGCTCGATCCACCCGTGCACATCATCGGCAAGGAAAATCAGCTCGAGCAGTTGGCTCAACGAGTGTCGGAAAAGGCGAAACTCGGTGAACGTTCACTCGTGTGCGTACTCACCAAGGCCGACACGGAGGATTTATCCATGTACTTGAACGCGCAAGGAGTGCGAGCGGATTGGGTGCACAGCGAATTGACTGCGCCGCAACGCGCGGAGAAACTATCCAAGCTTCAACGTGGCGAATTGGATTGCATCGTCGGCGCCCAGCTCCTACGAGAGGGATTGGACCTCCCTTCCGTGTCACTCGTCGCGATACTCGACGCAGACGTCCCGGGTTTCATGCGAAGCGCGCGTTCTCTCATGCAAATGGCCGGGCGAGCCGCTCGTAACAAACATGGCGAGTGCGTCTTGTTCGCCGATTCCGTCACAGGGGCGATGCGCGATATGATGAGTGAAGTCGACCGAAGACGGGAGAAACAACATCGGCACAACGTGGAGAATAATCTCACGCCGACCACGGCGACTTTGGGATCGTCCACGTCAACGCTCTCGCTCTTCGAGGTGATGGCGGATGAGATTACAAAAGAGAAGGAGAAATGGGTGGTGGAGCAATCGGTCGGGCTCACGTCTCAGAATCGCTCTGACGTGGACGAGGAAGCCGTAGAAAAAGCTTTGCGCAGCTGGCGAAAGCGTCGCGAGGGAGGTGTTGTCCGACCCGGGCCAAAGCCTTCCGATTCGCTAAAAATGGAGAACAACGCCAACACGGCGGAGGGTGAGAAGCTCGTCGCAGAAACCGTCTTAGATCGTTATGGAATCGATGCTACGCACGTGGAGAGACTCAGGCGTCTACACCGCGACATGCCTGCGAAAACTGGCGTATATCGTTGGCTCGACGCTGATGGTAAGGTCCTCTACATTGGCAAAGCGAAGAATCTGCGATCGCGAACAGGGCATTACTTGTCGCCAGCTTTGATTCAGGCTTCACCCAGGCATCGTAAGCTTCTCGCATCGGCGCGCACGCTCGATGCCGTGTTGACCCCAGGCGGCGAGGCAGACGCGTTGGCGCTCGAAGCGAGATTGATTCAGCGTGAGCGTCCGGCTCTGAACATTTTGCTCAAGGATGCGCCGAAACCGGAGAGCGCACGAATCGTTCTCACATCGAAGAATTCCGATGGGCGACTCTTCATCGCGCGGTTCCAAAACGAATTCGATCCCTCGAAGGTCGAGCGAGTCTGGACGCTCCCCACGCGCGAAGCCGCGATTCGTACGATGGCATTCCTCGAGAGAGCTCTGGATCTGCGTGGAGTTTCATTTCGCTCGCGATTCGGCGAAACCGCGGCTATCGCGCAGTGGAAATTTGCCGTCGACATTGCGTCTATGGTGCTCGACGCCAAGTACGATGATGCCATAGCGAAGCTCGAGCTTCACGGTGAACTTGCCGCTGCGCTCGAAATTCGAGTGTCCGCGCAAGAAGAGGCGGAACGAGGTCAAGGTTCTCGCGGTTCTCTCGCAGCGCTCCTTCAAGCGGATTCATCTGCAAAACACTGGAACATGGACATCATTGCCGCTGCGAGCAGTGGTGGTGGAACGTGCGCGGTTAAAATCGTGAAGGTGCGCGACGGCGTCATCGTGGACGTTCTCGGCTCGAGCGTTGACGTGCCGAACGCGACGGCTGACGACGACATCGCCGAGGCGACGCTCGCCGAAGCCGCACAGCTCGTGGCGGAGCAAATGTACGCTAGCGAAACGTCGGATCGTCCAGACGTCGTGTACATTCCACATGTCGTCGCCGAACCAGTCCAGTTGCGAGCCGCGCTGAAATCTCTCGGCATCGGTGGGAGTTCCAGGAGCAAAGTCTTGCATCATGGCTCCGCGAAGGAGGGATCGCTTCTCCAGGCGCTCGCCGACGTGGCGTTAGAAAACGCAGACGAGTCCGCGCGCGCAACCGCGTCGAAATCTATTGCGGCGCTACGCTTGAAGGACGCCATCGCGCTTTCGGCATCGCCGAAATCGATCGAAGGCGTCGACGTGTCGCACCTCGCTGGTCAGAACGCAGTCACATCCTTTGTTCGATTCGAAGGCGGCTCGCCTGCGCCTCTGAAGCACAAACGTTACGAACTCAGCGAAGCTGTCACCCCGAGCGACGATTACGGTGGTATCGCTGAATCCATCACCGCGCGTCTCTCATCAAAGGGCGCGCTACCGGACGTCTTGATGATTGACGGTGGCGCGGGCCAGCTGACGGCGGCGGCGAACGCCATCCTCGAAGCTGGCGTCGTCATCTCGAACATGGTCGGCGAAGACGACCGACCGCTCGACCTGGCAAATTCGAAGCCCCGACGCACCGTCGCTCTATGCGCCCTGGCGAAGGGGCGAAGCTCGGGTGAAGAGGCGCTCTGGATCCCGGCGCTCTCGCCCGCCGGCCGCTGTGTCGGCGTGCGCGTTGACGATGCGCACGTCGACGCCCTTCGCCTCCTCCGCGCCGTTCGCGACAGCGCTCACGCCGTCGCGCTCGGCGCGCACAGAAATTTACGCCGCGAGGAGCGCTTACGCTCCGTCGCGTCCGCTTAATGTAACACTACGCGCGTGCGCCGACGTCAAGCTCTTTCAAATGTGCCAAACCCTGAACAGCCGCCACTTCACGCCGCGCGCGCTCGACGAAAATGCACGCCGCGTCCGCGCCCAACGGCACGCGCGCCAACGCCTGTGCCCATGCGACGAAACGACGCGCGCGTACCCGCGTCGCCGCGTCGAGACAACGCGTGTTCGAGGAACAAAATCTCGAGCTGACGGACCTCACCGCCCTCTCACCGCTCGACGGACGCTACGCCTCGAAGACGTCGTCGTTGCGCGGGTCGTTCAGCGAGTTCGCGTTGATCCGCGCGAGAGTTCTCGTCGAGGTCCGATGGCTCCAGCAGCTGGCGTCGATCCCGGAGGTGGTGGAGGTCCCCACGCTGAGCGCGGACGCGAACGCGTACCTGGAGAAGTATCTCGCGGAGTTTGACGTGAACGAGGCGGCCAAGGTGAAGACGGTCGAACGGACGACGAATCACGACGTGAAAGCGGTCGAATACGTGCTCAAGGAGGCGCTGTTGAAGCACCCGGAGCTGGCGAAGATTATGGAGTTCACGCACTTCGCGTGCACGAGCGAGGACATCAACAACCTGAGTCACGCGATCATGTTGAGAGACGGCGTGGCGACGCTCAAGCCGGAGATGACGAAGATGGTGGACGCGATCGCGACTATGGGGACGGAGCACGCGTCGGTACCGATGATGAGCCGAACGCACGGGCAACCGGCGTCGCCGACGACGCTAGGGAAGGAGTTGGCGAACGTGGCGTATCGCTTGGCGCGTCAGGTGAAACAGCTCGATTCCATTCCGTTGTACGGTAAGATGGCGGGAGCCGTCGGTAACTACAACGCGCACATGTCAGCGTACCCGAATGTGGATTGGCAAGCGGTGGCTGAGAAGTTCGTCACGGGACTTGGGCTTGATTTCAACCCGTACGTGACGCAAATCGAGCCGCACGACTACATGGCGGAGCTTTTTGCGTGCATCGAGCGCTTCAATACCATCACGCTCGACTTCGATCGCGATGTTTGGTCATACATCTCCATCGGTTACTTCAAGCAGAAGACCATCGCGGGAGAGGTCGGATCGTCGACGATGCCGCACAAGGTGAACCCGATTGACTTTGAAAACTCTGAGGGTAATGTTGGGCTCGCCAACGCGGTGTTTGCACACCTTGCCGCTAAGCTTCCTGTTTCTCGCTGGCAGCGAGACCTGACCGATTCCACCGTCTTGCGTAACATGGGCGTTGGGTTTGGTTACTCGATCCTCGCTTACCAATCCACTATGCGCGGCATCAGCAAGCTTGAGGTGAACGCGCAAGCCATGGCTGACGACTTGGACTGCAACTGGGAAGTGCTCGCGGAACCGATCCAAACCGTCATGCGCCGATACGCGGTGGAAAAGCCGTACGAAAAACTCAAGGAGCTAACGCGCGGTCGCCGCGTCGACGCTCAAGGTATGCGCGAGTTCGTCAGCAAGCTTGACATTCCGGACGAGGGCAAGAACAGTTTGCTGGCGCTCACGCCGGCGTCTTACATCGGTAACGCCACGGAGCAAGCGAAGGACATCCTCAGTAAGCTCAAGGATTTGTAGTCGTTTTGTTGTTATGGGAGTAAGTTAAAACTTGATGTGTTTTACATTCGTCTAGATCGGCTAACGTTTCTTGTTTGCCTCCAAATACTTTGCGGCGCGAGGCACGTCGTGCTTGAGAGAGAACGACCCGGTACCCAGATTGACGGTGCGCCCAACGACGATGCGAGACGAAGGCGAGCTGAGGTCATCTGTTTCGCCTCTTATAGTGGCCTCCGTCAGGAAAGCGGTCGCCGTTTCGTAAGACATCTTCAAGAACGGCGAAATGCTCTTCTCGATGCCACTTCTGTTACACGGCCTGTATTCGCCTTGCTGCGTCATGAAATCGCCGATGAGTGAGAGGTGACGAGCGTCGACACCGATACCATACACGGAGAACACGGCCTGGACTTCGCTCACAAGTGTCGCTCGTCCCGCCTCGACGCCGAACGTTTGCATGATGTCCCATACAGAGTTGGATTTTATCATGTCGACGTCAATCAAGTCAGAGTTGGCCCATGCGGCTCGGAAGGAAATACCATCTGTCTGAACCGAGAGCGGCTGCATCCCGTTTGGATCCTCGGCTTCAGGTTTACCCACCACGAATGTTTGCTTAATTCCGGGAGTCTCTCGAATGACGATTTTCACCGCAAGATCCTGCGCAACCTCCAATGCGAGGACGTGCGGCGAATTGATGCCGCAGGGGATGGTGAACTCCAAGGTCCGTGCCTTTTCGTTCAGGACGATGGATTCAACGACTTCGCTACTCGGTAGCTGCACACCGGCGTCGGTAAAGTCTCCGGCGACACGTTTCGTCTTCGACGTTTTCGTATCGACGGCCTCACCGTCGTCAGATGATACTTCGGAATCGTCGTCGTCATCAGACTCAGAGTCTTCATCAGAGGAATCATCTGAGTCACTGGCATCGTTTCCATCCTCGTCCGCCTTTCTCTTCTCCATTTTCGCTCCTTCCTCATCCTCTTCGTCATCATCCTCATCCGAGACGTCGCCGTTCGCTTCAAACTTGACCTTCTTCTTGCCGACCCCTTCATCAAGCTTTGAGTCATCGTCACCATCTAGAGCTTCTCGCGGAGCGGTCGTCCCTTCCATCGGACCCGTGGCGTTCTTGATGATGATGCCCTTCGCCTTGTTCTTTTTCATCTCGCTTCCAATTCTGCCCACGAGCTGCGGCGCAAACTTGAGCTTGACCGTGCGAGCAAACTCCTTGAATGTCACTTCATTAGGGTCGTTCTCGTCATGTCCCTCGCGCATGTGAATGGACACCGTGTAGAGTCGCGACAGGCGTCCGTCCGGTCCCGTGCCGTAATCTTTTATCTTTACTGAGAGCTTCTCCATGAGTTCCGCCAACACTACTCTGCGAAGGCGTCGACAGAGAGTGTTCGCGTGTTCCTTGCTTCTGTATCCTTTCCTCAAAGGAAGCACCATGACAGGCGTGAGCAACTTCCTCGATGCCGCCATGAGAAGCTCGCGCAGACGCGGGATACCGAGCGTGACGTTTGCTTCGCCCCGACCAGCGAAGTGGAACGTGTTCAAAGTCATCTGCGTTGAAGGTTCTCCGACAGACTGAGCCGCTACAACGCCGACGGCTTCACCGGGCGGCGCAACGTTGCTGAGGAACATCATGTTCATCAGAGTCGCAAACTCTTCAGCCGTGACGCCAGACTTGGCAGCGAGAGAAGCATTCTTTATATCACCCTTTTCGTCGGCCCAGTATCCTTTCGGGCGTGAATCGATGAATGTTTTGAGTTCGACGCTGAACTTCTCGGGCAAGACACCCAGTTGGTTGCCAAAGTTTTCAGTCGCGAATCTAGGTATATCTTCCTTGCGGCTGATTTCGTCAATAACCTTGACGTTCTTCTTGTTGAGTGTTGGCAACGTCGAGATGGCTGACTTGTTGTTGAGCATGATAAGCTCCGGGTTTTCGGCGAGGAACTCGAATTTTTGCAAATATCCAGAACGAGTGACGTCGACGGAGTCTTCACCATATTGGAACTGCACGATACTCCCATCGCAATCGCGGACGGTGTAATCGTAGTGCACTCGCAGTGATTCAAGGTTCTTCACTAAGCAGCGCTGCAGGTAACCGGAGCGCGCGGTTTTCACAGCGGTGTCGACGAGACCTTCACGCCCAGCCATGCAGTGGAAAAAGTACTCTGGCGGGTCCAGACCGCTGAAGAAACGGCACGCAATGTAGCCGTTAGCTCGCGCACTGACATCGTAGGCTTCGAAGCACGGAAGCGTTTTCCCGCTCGGCATTCGAGGAACGCGACGCCCTTCGAGCTCTTGCTGGCCCAACGCAGCGGCGATCTGCGAAAAGTTCACCAAAGAGCCCTTCGCACCAGAAATCGTCATGAGGGACAGACAGTTCTTCGAGAACATTTTTTTAGTCCCTAACGGCAGACACTTTTTCACCGTCGCCGATGTCACTTTGTTCAGCGCACCAGAAGCTTTCATGTCCAACTGAGCGCCCCAAGCGGCGTTCTCCCTCAGTTTTGCCGCGACTGCACGCATCACTTGCTCGTCTGATTTCCCGGTCGCCTCTGCAACGTCCGCAGTGGCAGTCTTACACGCCTCGTCAGCCTTTTCGAGCTCATCTAGACGATCCTGTTCGGCTTGCTCAGTGAGAATCAAGTCATCTATGCCGCATGTAAATCCGTGCTTTTGCAAGAACGTTGTGAAAAGTCTCGTGAAGATGGACAACAGAGCGCCAGCGACGGAGCGCCCGTGAAGCTCAGCGACGGCGTGTACAAGGCCGTACTTACCGAACATGTTCTTATCAACAACACCGGTGCAGAAATAATTGCGCCGAATAACGAGGCGGTCTTCTCCAGAGTCTTCACCGCCGAAGAACGTGCCGGGGATTTTGCAAGGCGCGCTGAACGTCATCGGCGGTCGACCGCGAGTGATATGCGTGATTGCGGCACCTATCAGCTGCTTGCCCGTCCACAGTCTCTGAGGCTTGAGCAACGCTGGCGGTGGAACTTCTATCGTTCCGTGAGTCTCACCACAGTAATCAACAAGCGCACTGTACAATAGTTGCGTGAATTCTGATCGGTTTAAAAATCTGTCTCGCATGGAGAGAATGAGACCGGAGCAAATGTGATCCTGAATCAAACCTCGAAGCGGCTTGCCATCCGTCGGTACCGTGAACTGACGATCGCCGTGCATGATCTCGTACGCCTCGGCGCGCCCAAGATGATCTTGTGGAAAGTGAAGGTTGATCTCATCCCCGTCAAAATCAGCGTTGAATGTGGAGCAGTTTGAGTAGTGCATACGGACGACGCGTTGCCCGGGAAGCACACGCGCCGTGTGCGCTAAAATACCCGGCTTGTGTAGCGTTGGCTGACGATTGACGAGCATGACGTCGCCATTCCGCAAGTGCCTGTAGACCGTCTTTGCGAGAGGACGAGCTGGCCCGTCGGCAGATCCACTGGCGGTCGTCGCCAAGAGGGTCTTCGCGATGGCCGCTCTCTTTTCGGCGGTAAACTTATCAAGGTGAATTACTCGACCTCGCTCATCTTCTATCGCGTTCGCGCCCGGGTGAATGTCCGGACCGTTTTCCACTAGGGTTCGCATCAAGTCAACGTTGTGAGGCGTAACGAGCTCGGGAAACGTTAGTTTCTTGGCGAAGACGGGTGGAACGCCGATTTCGCTTGTTCCCAAGTAAGGGTCAGGAGAAATCACCGAGCGCGCGGCGAAGTTGACGCGCTTTCCCATCATGTTCATACGGAAAAGACCTTCTTTCTTTTCTAGCTGTTGCCGGATCCCGATCGCTTGCTTGGCCTCCTGCGTGTCGGCTTTCGTTGCATCAATGAGTCTGTTTATACCCGACTGAAGTGCCAGCCAAGCGCGAACGGCTCTTCCAGCGCGCACTTCCGGCGGCTCTGGCACTGTCGGAGGTGTCCTAAACAACTCAGCGAGGCTCAAGTTGGCCTGTATGATGGTCGTGAGCGATGTGTTTTGCGGATGCTCAAAAATCATGTCTCCCATTTTACTCGCCGGTCGGAACTTGGACGGTGTCACTAACAGAGTCTGAACAAAAAATCTGGACGGGTCACTTCGACGCTCACTAAGCCCTTTGGACTTCTTCGAGGGCCCGTTCGTGGCCCAGATCAAAGAGCAAAAGTCGTACTCATTCCCCCAAAGGCGCTTGAGCAGCGCTCGAGCCTCGATGGGAGTGATGTACAACGGTTTAGTCTGCTCCGGCACGCGCTCGTCCACGGACATCTCGTCGGCATCGCTGTTATCGCTATCATCTGACGTGCTCTCCGAGTTTTCACCCTCTGCACCGCCTGTTTTCGTCTTATCCCGAGATCCATCCTCGTCGTCGGTCGACTCATCGGACTCGTCGCCTTCACCGAGCCTCTTTCTCACTTTTTTCTTTGCCGGAATCAACCTGGGTTCGACCTCCGCTCCTGCCAGCTTGGACGCTCCCTCGTGCGAATCTGCGCTCTCCGCACTTGCTTGACGCGCCAATCTCTGCATGTCCTCATTTATATTGATCCCATTCGCTAGGTTGTTCAGATGCGCTTGTTTCGCGATCTGACCCCGGAAAATCTTATTGTGTCCCTCCGTCGACACCTTCGGGTTCACGGCGTTGCAGTTTTCGCACTTCTTTGGCTGAATTGACAAAAACTCCTTGATGAGCTCCCGCGCGGCGGTAGACGATACGGACGTCCACGCTACCGGACCGTTCTTTCCCTTCGTCTTGAGCCTCGGCAGGACGTCGTGAATGTTGTCCAAATCCATCTCCTCGACGTCGCCGTCGTCCTCAACCTCTTGCCAGATCTCGCTCATCTCCTTCTTCGCCTTCTTACTAATCTCTGGCATCACGTTCTCTGCCCCCTCGACATCACCGTCCATGAGCATCTCCAACCGCTCCCGAAACCTCCGCACCCGACTCTCGTGCATCCTGAAACGATGACAATGAAAACACGTCGTCTTGAGCAACCGCACCACGGTCCCAAACGTCAAAGGGTTATACACCGGTACCACCAACTCGATGTGCCCGAAGTGTCCGTCGCACATCCCTCCCGGGTACTTACACGTCACGCACGTCGTCTTCGCATCCGTCGGCCCCAGCGCTGGATCGTACAATCCATCCGGCACGGCGTTGTTCAACCCGTCGAATAGCGTCGGGTTCGTGATCCTCTTCACGCTGATCTTCCTCACCTCGTCCGCGTCGTAGAACGAGAACGACGCGCTCGCGATCTCCCTCTGCACGAGCCCTCTCTGTTGCACGCGATGTCGCGCCACGCGCGGTTCCCTGGACGTCGACATCGCGCTCGACGTGTGCGCGTCGTCGCCGCCGCCGCCGTTCGCCGCACGTCTCTTCGTCGCCGTCGCGTCGCCGCGCGCCGTCCAGCGTTCGCGCGCGCGCGTGCTCGCGGTGTCTCAAGTCACGACGGTTCGATCGAGCGATCGAGCGATGGAATCGACGCGCGCGTCGACGCGCGAGGCGCTGCGGGATCTCGAGCGGCGGCGGCGGTGGTTGCTTTTGCGCATTCGTGTGTGGGCGAACAGTATGAAGTAGGACGCGCGGTTCTGTTCGTCCTATGCTATAGGCTAATGTTCGTTCGATTCACGCGGCCGTAGGAACGCGAGCCGTAGGATCGTCGCTCGGGTCGACGTGCGGTGAAACGAACTCTTCGTCGTCGAGCTCGTCGAATTCGTCGAGAACGGAGTGGTCCGATCGCGAGCTCTGGGGCGGCGTACTCTGCGTCTGCGCAAACGTCGCGTTGGTGAGCCAGGGGTGAGATACGATGCGCTTGGCGTCGAAGCGGCGACGTGGATCGACGCGCAAGCATCCAGCGATTAGATCTTTGGCGGCGAGGGAGATGCCACCCCAGGTCTCGATGTCGTACGTGAAGGCGGTGAAGTTACCGCGACGGATGCGCTCGCACAGCGTCGGGAGGTCTTCATCGTCAAACGGACGATACCCCGCGAGCATCGTGAACATGATAACCCCAAACGCCCAGCAGTCGACCGGTTTTCGTAGATCCCTCCGCCGTTTACCCGGATCAAATCGCTCGGGCGCGGCGAAGCGGATATCTCTGCTATCGAACGGATACGTGCGGATGACTGTTTCTCCGGTCTCCGGATCGAGCCACTCGTACGTCTCGTACCGAAACTCAAACGGTGCGTCCCGTCCCACGAGCGTGCAATAGGGCATCGATGTTATCATGATATCGTCCTCGTAGTTGTCGACGAAGAACACCGTGCTGAGCTCCAAAGATCCGCACGTCGCCCCCAAATTGTCCAAGGTGCTCAACACCTGGGCCAACTGCGTCAGGATGACTCGCGCTTCGTCTTCGCTAAACTTCCCCCCCTTCTTTTGCGCGCGATCGACCAACCGATCACCCGTGACTCGATCTAAAATATGCACGCCAATGTACGGTTTCCGTCGCGTCTCCAGGAAGCTCTCGTGCAGCTTCGTCACCGATTCGCTGTGCATCAACTCGAGCACATACTCCTCCGTGTTGAACTGCGCCAGCGTCATCGACTCGTCATCCTTATCCTCAGCCTTCTCCACGATCCGCATCACCTTTGCCGTGCGTTCGATATCATCTGTGATCGAAATCACTCGAAAAGCCCCACCGTATCGATCGTAATAATCGCAATCGAGCACCTCGTACGCCTCGACGAACGCCGCGGGAAACGCCGTACGCATCGCATTCAGGCTCTTCTTCTCCCTAGCCACCGCCTTCGCCGTCTCGCTCTCGGGTGCCGACGACGCGCACCCCATTTCTCTTCGCCTGAGTCGCGTCCACGATCGTCCACACGCCGCGTCGACCGTCGAGCGTCCAGAAAGAAATCGGAAAGAAATCGGAAAGAAATCGGAAAGAATTCGGACTGAATTCGGAAAGAATTCGACGCCGCGCGAGCGATGCGCTCCCAATCGGACAGTCAAATCGAATTCAACGCGCGTTCCGTCGTCGGTGCGCGCGAACCCGCGGCGATGCGCGCGAGCGTGTGCGGCGTGCGCGAGAATCCACCGCGCCCAAGAAGTCGAGCCGCGGCCGTCCCGCGTCGCGCGAGAGAGACTTTAAATCGCGAGACGACGGGTGTGAAATGGAAAATACATCGTCAAACGTCGAATACGCTACGCACGCGCGTCGCGCGTCGCCCGCCGAGTCCGGGCGCGAGATCTCGGCCACGGCGACAGTCCGTCGTCCGTTCACGCGTCCCGCGCCCGCTTCTCGCCCGCCGCGACCTCCGCGCCCCCCTCTCCCCGCGCCTTCATCCCCTCCAGCTCATCTCTCAACAGTTTCCCGTACCCACCCCGTCCACTGTCGTAATACGTCCTGTATTCGTCTCGCACTTGTCCACCGCTCTTCCCGCGTCCGAATTCCCGTCCCTCGCGATAGCCCCAGTCGAAATCCACTCTGATTTCGCGATCATCCAACTTCGTCCCGTTCAGGTACCTCGCGCACCGCTCCGCCGCCGCGCGCGTCTCGTACTCCACGAACGCGAATCCACACGGCGTCCGCCGCTCCCGATCGAGCCCGAAGACGATGCGTCGGACGACGCCGCACCGCGCGAACAACGCCCGCGCCTGCGTCTCCGAGGTGTAAAACGACAGATTCCCCACGTACAGCGTCGCGCTCGCGCGCAGGGCGTCGAGGTAGGCCTCGATCGTGCCCTCGAACGCGCGATCTTTGTACTGCGTCAGCGGCTCTTGGTCGAGGAAGAGACGCGCCATCGATTTTGGCGGCGGCGTGTGGGGCCATCGACAGAGCGCGACGATCGACAGCCGCGCGAGCGACGGGGATGGCGACCGAGGGCGGGGGGGCGTCGAGGACGACGACGCCGACGGCCGAGGGCGCGAGCGCGGCGGGGGGGTCGGAAGACGGCGCGACGGGGGAGGGATGGGCGCGATGGCGATGGGCGCGACGGATGGTGATGGGACTCGCGAGCGCGATCGTCGCGCTGTACGTCGTGGGCGTCACGGCTTCGGTCGGGGAGGATGGGGATGGACCGCGGTCCACGGCGGGCGGGGACGGGGGAGTGGGGGTGGAGACCGCGCGCGTGGCGGCGCCGACGTCGGCGCGCGTGGCGTACGTGCCGCAACCCGGGGCGAAGGGCGCGAGGTATCGCGATCGTTGACGGCGTCGATGACGATGTGGTTTGTGTTTTGATTTGTAAACGATGCGCGCTGAAACGATCGGGTCACGCGTCGTCGCCCTCGAGCTTGAGCTCGAGCTTTGGTCGCTTTTTCGCGCTCTCGGGCGACGCCGGATTTTCTTTGAACGCGGACGGGCACGATCCGTCCTTCGCGAGGGGGCACGCGTGGCACTTGGGACGGAGCGGTGTGCACGTGAGTTGGCCGAAGCCCACCAACAGCGGGTTGATTTCGATCCACTCGTGCTTGGGAAGCCAACTCTCGAGCGCCGCGCGCGTGTCCTCCGGCGTCTTCTTCCGCGGAGATCCATTCTTCCCCATCACGTCCTTGGCGACCCAACCGAGGCGCTCGGAGATGCGATGGACGTGAACGTCGACGCAAATCCCGGTCGGTTCTCCCCAACCGACGTTCATGACGAGGTACGCCATCTTTGGACCGACGCCCGGGAGCGCGCACAGCGTCTCCACGCTCGGCGGAATGTCCCCATCGTACTCGTCCAGTAAAATCTTCGCCGTCGCGCGTAAATATTGCGCTTTACGTCGATGAAATCCAACCGGATTGATCATCGCGTCCAGCGCGTCCTCGTCCGTGTTTAAAATGTTCTCCGGCGTGCACCCGTGCGCTCTGAGTCGCCGCATCGCCGCGTGATTAATCTCATCCTTCGTCTGCGAGCTCAGCATCGCGCTCGTCAGCGTCAGGTACCGTCTATATCGATCTCCATCCACGTTCACTCGATCGTCCTCGACGTCGGCGATCTTTTCGCATCCCATCGTGTCCACCGCCGCCGGCGGTCCGTCCGCGCGCCAGCGCTTGATCGTCTCCAGCGTCTTCTCCCATCCCTCCGGCTCGATCGCCACCACCGAGCGTTCGTCCTCCGTCTTCACCGGTTTCTTTCGCGAGTTTACTTTCGCGCGAATCGGCGTCGTCACGTCGTCCGTCGCTGACGACGTGGATGGTTTCTCAGGCTCTGGCGCGGCGTCGCCATCTTTCGCGCGGGACGGCGACGCGGCGACGCGTCGTGACATCGCGTTCGGATCCGCTCTGGCGCGTCTGCCGAACGCGATGGACACCGGTGCGAGCAGACGACTCAGCGCGCGAGCGACGTGGGCGTACATGCGCCGATGTGAGGACGCGCGGGGCGAAGCGAGACGGGCGCGCGAGACGAAACGTTCGGGACGCGCGGGCGCGCAACGGTATCACTTATTCCAGTCGTCCTCGGGTTCGTCGTCGTCGAAGTCTTCGAATATTTCGTCGTCGTCGTCGTCGTCACCGTCGTCGTCAAAGTCGTTTTCGTCGTCATCGACGACGTTCGCGTCGGCGACGGACGCGCCGGCGTCGCCTTGGATCGATTTCACGAAGTCCTCCTTGAGCGGCTTTTTGAAAAATTGCCGGAGCGAGGCGATGTGGTTCAAGACCTCGCGCTTGCCCTCCGCGGTCTCGCTCGAGGTGTAAATCATGGGCGGGAGCTCGTCCCAGTCCCAGTTATCCATGGCCTCTCGACAGAACTCCTCCATCGTCTCCTGCGGGTTCGCGCGCTTACCCGCGGCGATCTTCTTGCGCTTATCCACCTTTGTGAACACGATCGTCACCGGAATCCCAGCCGCGCCGAGCCAATCGAGGCACTCTAAGTCTAATCTCTGCGGCTTCACCGTGCTGTCGATGAGGAGCATCACCGTGATGAGCGTCTCGCGCTTGAGCAGGTACTCGCGCGTGAACTCGGCCCACTTCTCGCGCAGTGCCTCTGGGGCGTTCGCGAAGCCGTACCCCGGAAGATCGACCAAGTAATACGATCCCGCACCGGTGATCATCTTGTAGTGATTGATCGTCTGCGTCTTCCCCGGATTCTTCGACGTTTTCGCGATGGACTTTCTATTGGTGAGCATGTTCACGAGCGAGCTCTTCCCCACGTTAGACCGGCCAATCACCGCAATCTCCGGCAGCGTGGGCTTGGGACATCCCGCCAAGCTCGCGCACGCCTGCACGAACTCCACGCTCTTCACGGTCGCCCCTCGTCCCTGATCCGCGATCTCGAGCGCGCGCTCTCCGACGACGTCGTCGTCCTCCGCCTCCGCGTCGTCGTCGTAATCCTCAAACCCATCCCCCATCGACGCCACCGGCGCGTCGACGACCCGCGCGCGAGCACCGACGCCACCCTTCGTCTTCCCACCGCCCGCCGTGATCTTCATCGGCGACCGATCGTCGTCGAAATCCACACATTCCCGCGGCGCGTCTCGCGCCGGTCTCCGCCCGCCGCGTCCACCGCCGCGTCCACCCC